AAAATATTTATACTTTTTTTTTTTCATGAATTGAAAAAGTGCATGGAAGTTAAGCTGAATTGACAGGATGTCTGGGGTTATGTTTGAAGAGGTTTATGAATTTACAGAATAAGAGCATGGAAGCAATTGNAAAAAAAAAAAAAAAAAGGTTTCATATCCTGCTCAGTTTCAACACGGAGACAAGCATCTTGTAACCTTGGATATATACTTACAACACACAGACCCCTATGCACACCAGCCAGTGTGGTCTGATGAGTCAGTTTTGGCATGTTAAAATAGCAAAAAACAGAACCTTGACGTGCTGTAATTTCTATACACAAAGTTCTAGTGATGTTAGAGGGTTCAAATCGTCGTGACCAAGACTGTATGCTCAGTAGAGAATATTAATTCATCCATACATACACACTTATGTATAAACAGAAAGGGGATCCGGTTGTAAAACCCATCATCTTTTTAAAAGCCTATTTCTTTGAACTGTTACAGGATCAAGCCTCTCCCAGCATACATCGTGATGAAGGCGACATAACACTCAAGAGGTTGATGCTAAAAAAATGACAGTGACTCTCACGGTCAAATTACAGTTTCCTACTGCATTTGATTTGCATGTTTTTTGCAAAGTGGGATTAAAACAGAATACCTTCCAACATGCATAGAGATAAGGCTCAACCTCATTTGAAAATGTTGCACTTTATTTCATTTTTAGGGGCCAATAATTACAGTTCTAAATTTCATGACTGTGGGAGGTATATTTTTGAAGATTTTAAACCCTTAAAATGGGCATTTAAGCAAAGCAAACTCTGGACAAAATCTGAGAGGAACTAACCTGGCACATGTTGTGGTTAAGGTCATATAGAGGATATACGACTCTTACACGACAAGTCATCCACTTGCAAACCAACATCCACAGAGAATTGGACAAACTTGAGAGGGCAGTGGGTTTTTTTTATGACCAACAAACCGTCACTCTACTTGACTGACCTCCGCTCTGCTTGTGTCTCCCTGAGTAGGTCAGAGTCTCTACCAGCTCCAGGGCTGCAACTCTACAGCTGAGCTTAGTTTGAGCATCCTTGTATTATAATTATAACAGTTCAGTTGTTTGTATGCACCAGTTTACCAAAGGTCACTGAAGACAGGACACACAGCTCACATGCACCAACACAGTGCAACGCTATCTAGCTCCAGTAGCTACAGGGCAGTAGATGCACTCAACCTAACTTTAAAATCTGACAACACTGCAACAGGTATGGAACAAAGTTTCCGTCAATATGTGACAGCAGAGGCAGAACACTAACAGTCTTCTCAGCAACTGCTGAATATCTCCTCCACATTATAACAGCAGCAGCAGCAATGCTCTTGAAGTTTTGAATACTGACACCATGTTCAATACGCAGCATGGAAGCTGGAAGAAATGATCCTACTTTAGTCCAAATTATACATTTTGCTTCCACATGGCCCACGCTGACTACAAAGCTGACGCAGACCTAAATTTATGACAGAGCGGACTGCATGTGTGGATCACGTGTCGACGAAGGTGTGAACACGTCAATGTATGCAGACACCAAATGTACCATAAACAGAACCACATGGATGTCTGCTGTCCATGTCCACTTTGTGTATTTAACATTTGAACACTACCACACTAACCAGCATGAAAAGGTAATTTCGCCACTTAATATCAGAACTAAAGCTTAATTGACATCCATCCATCCATTATCTAATACACCACTTAAACTGGAGCCTATAGCAGCTGACTCAGGGTGAAGGCAGGTTCACCTGGACAGGTAACCAGTCTGTCACAGGGCTACACTTAGAGACAGACAACCAAGCACACTCACATTCACACATCACCAACCTCAACATGTTTCTGGACTGTGTGGGAGGAAGCCGGAGAACCCGGAGAGAACCCACGCTGCACGGGGAGAACATGGAGACTCCACACAGAAAGATCATCGGCGACCTTCTTGCAGCCCAACTTAATTGACATGTATACATTTTAATTTATTCAAAGCCTTATTTTTAAGCATGTGCATTTGTCTAAATATGACAAAAAAAGGACAAAGCTGCCCTCAGCTGAAGTAAAATTATAAGCACATTTTACCCTGAAACTATATGTACAGAAAACTGTGGGTTTAAATGAATAATCTTTGAAATATCTGGTGCAGAGGCAGTCTTGCCCTCGACATAGTAAATCGTGGTTTGAATTTTGTTCTCCCACAGCTACTTACAGGATTTGTACTCTGACGTAATGTCCTAATCCTGTAGTCAAATTTATTATAAACCGGCTGCATATTATCATCAAAAGAAGTAAGACCACCAGTACCTTCTCCTTCTTTGATGACCTTGTCTCTCTCCACAGAGACAATAGAACAGAGAAGAGCCAAAATTACCGAGCAAGATGCTAAGAAAATCACTGATAGAAATATAGAACAAGAAGGATGGAGAATAAATTAAAATCTCCCCTATTTTTCTCCGTCTTGCTTTCTCCCAAGCCTTCCTCTCTCCCTTAGTTCATTCAATTACAGTAACATCTGTCTCTCTGAGTCTTGTGATCATTCAGAAGTGGTTGAAAAACATTTTTAGTATCTATATAATACTGTAAGATTAATTACTTTCATACTTTGGTATAATAACCATAAAAATGAAACTTCGGTCAAGGTGATTAGTAGCCTCTGTCTCACATCAGTGGCATTCTTGGATCTAGAGTTACTCTGCGTTGGATCCAAATTTCCCCTGAACCAGGCTGTTTCCTGTTGCAATTAATACTTTTTTCTCTTTCAAGTGTTTTTTTTTTTTTTGTTCCTTTCCATGCTGGACTACATGTTGGAAGGGAACTTTCCATCTGCCTCAAACACCTTCAAACATTATTTGCACCAAATGCTGGAAACTTAAGCTTGGCGGAGAGTCGATACAGTATATGATGCTTGAATTCCAATGTACCTGTCTTCTTCGGCCGGTGGCCCATTATCTTATCGATGACCTTTTTGGGTTTAGATGTTTATTTCAATGATGTGGTAATAAATCATTGGTGCATGTTGTCACCTCTTCTATATGGTGCGTGTGGTTGTCTGTGCTTCCAAACTGAACGTCCCTTGAGACAGTGCGGTATTCAGTCTTGTATTACATATCCCCGTCACATCTCTCTCCCTCTTTCTTCATGCTACAGACATTGTAGAGAGACACACAGACAGAATCAATAGGAGCCAATCAGCAGCAGACAAAGATGGACACGGACCCTCTCTCTCTCACTGTCTACTTCAACCCAAACTCGGTCATTCCTTTCTTTTCATCTTTCCTTTCTCCTCCTTCATACATCTTCCCTTCTCCTTTCTACCTCCCTTAATTCCCCCTTCAGCCTGTTTTGTGTGCTCCTCTAAATTGGTAAGGACAGAGAGAATGGCGAGGACAGAGAGAGTCAATGGAGCATCAAATTAAAGTTTTTCCATACAGACTGAAACATATCCATACATGTGGTATGGGCTCCTTCCCTGTGATTGTGTGTTGTTTTCAAAAGTTCAGTCTTTAAGCACGGTGTTTAACTCTTTCATTATTGGCAAATTTGTTTAAATGAGGATTGATTTCACAATTACAACACGCAGTAGTCGTGCATGCAATGAGACAAGCTGAAAATAGCAACACTTATGAATTAATTTCTGCAGGAATAGCTTATATAGCTTATTGCTACTTTGAATGGGTTATAATTGCTTAACATTGCACAGTAACATTAGGCTGCGGTTGCATTGTGGTACAGGATGTGCATTATTATTATTTTTGTAAATATGATAAGGGCTGTAGAATTGTAAAGATTTGTGTTACTCACAATTCCAGTTTTCTTCTGTTTTTCAGGAGATATTTTATCTCAGCGGGGATGAAACGACCAAATAAAACAGGAAAAACTGCCTAAAAAGCCTTAATATGACATGAAACCATCAGGGGAGGTTTTTCACTAATTTGTTTCAATGAGTAAATCGTCACAACTCTTTGTGTCATTAGTTTTTGCAGTCAGTGCATGTACTTGTTAGAAACTTTCTTGTTTTGTTGTAACGCCACATACTGTAATACCTCTTCCTATGCAGCATCAAACCCCTAAACGGTTTGTTCAGTAAGTAACTACTGAAGACATTATCGTGTTCTTTTCCTGGATTACCTTTGCTGTTTCCATAGCTCACCATAGCAGATCCAATCCTATCAGACTGTGAACGTTTATTATATAAAATCTAAAGGCTTACACCAGTGAATGAGGGCTTTTGTTTCCACTGTTTGAAGTTTTAACAAGAGAGACTTTTGGTGTGTTTAACTCAGGGACGTGGCTGTCTAGTCAGGACTGCAGAGGAATTTTTCGGAGTTCATGTTTGTTTATAGAGCAAAGCGCTCCGATATGGATCTGTTACTGTGTGTGGGAGAGAGCATATGCCGATGGATTTGTGTGTGCGCTGCCAAAATCAGCACCTACTGAAAAGTCCTCGCATCCTCGGTGTGTGTATGTGCGTACTATATACACTTTTTTTGTGTGTTCTTAAGCCCGCGTGCACTAATCTGAAACTCTGAATCTTGTAGCTGTTATAGAGTACAGTGGCTTCATTCAGTGGACACAATATATACGTCAATGTGAGTAAAAGACTGTGTTTGCTTTTTGTTATCTGTAACCTATGCTGAACCTTTGTAATTGAATTGTGTTTTCTGCACTCGGGTCTGTGTGCATGCGCTTTTCCAAACGCACTTGATTCTCTGCATCAAAAGAATAGATTGTATAATATATAAATATGAAATTGAATTGGAAAATAGGCTGATTTTAAATGAAGCACTTACAGTAAGAGTAAATGAACGTCTATAAGTGAGTAAAGAGTGGGTGGATTTTATTATCTTTTTTTTTAACATATAAAGCACTTAAACTGTGCTTCAACCTGACCTTCACAATAAAATAGTGACTTTATGAATACAGCAAGTCATAATTTAATTCTGAGAAAACGGAGGAGTAGTTTTCCCTGCTGTGTGTGACCTACCTGTAGACGGTGGTCGGCGGGTAGTTGGCGATGTCATAAATGAGCCTTATGTGTCCCTGATAAAGCTCCAACGCCAACGGGTCGTGGTCCTCCTTGTACAACAAAATACCGTTGTCTTTATCTGTAGCCACCTGCACAAACAAAGACACAAAAGAGACACAAAAATATTTTAAGTCAACAATTACGGGTGATAATTCAAAAAGGCAAATTACCGTAATAACTGCAGAGATTCGGCAGTCAAAAATAAATCAGCACATTGGTTGTGAGATTTCACTATTCTCAATGTTGACAGTCTGTGAAAACGTGTTATTTTCATTCGGTTATTTAATAATGTGAGTGGATATCGCGGCTACACATGCAGATATAAATAACATCTCCCCCTTTTTTGATAAAACCCTAAAGTTTTAGTTTCTGCTCAGATCAAAAAGCAGGGTTCAGCTGTTCCTGCTGCTCAGAGAATGCAGCTTGAGTTCAGCATAGTTTGGGATTGTGCATTACTTGATCTCAGGAAAACCGATTTTAAAAAGTACATTAAAAAAAAAAAACCCTGCTGTGACTACTTGTTTTAACCTCTTAATAATCTCAGCTGCTGTTCCTTCTTGTATTTTTAAATATACTTTGTTCAGCTACAAATAAACTGACTGCTACTGATCTTGCACACTTGTTGTACGTATCTAAGTCGACTGAAGACGTCCTAAAAATCATTTGCACAATCAAACTGCTCTTAAAAAAACTGGAAGAAAACGAAGGAAAATAATTACATTTCACCACACGTCTCTAGAAAAGGTGACTCGTTGCTCCTTCTCTCAGAGACACACTTGGCATGTCACACTTGCTCGCGTGCTCCGCTAAGCGCTAACTAACTAGCAAGTGGAAATGGGGCCACGGGGCCAAGCACTTAACACTCTGGCGTCAATGGAGCATAGCCAAGTCAACACCTGCTAACAAGCTGCAAGGAAAAAAAAAGAGAGCGAGGCCGGCCGAGAAGAGAAAACGGAGGGAGAGATGTGGAGAACAAAGAGAGAGAAGGAGGGTGGAGGAAGGAGATACGGAAAAGTGGGTGAACGGGAAAAATGGGATGCAGACCGAAAGAAAAGAAAGAAGTGTAAAAGAGAAAGAGGGAAAAAAGAAAAAGAAGCATACAGTGATTTATGAAGTGCTGTGGCCCTTTCATTCTTTTTTTTTTTTTTTCATTTTCTCTCTGAGTCAGGGCCTCTTGGTGGAGTTTTAACAGCCTTGGCACTGACATTGAAAGCTCCTGGCAGGAACGCAAAAGCACACACGTACATGCACACACACACACACGTGCACACACGTGCACACACACACGCTCACATCGATCCAAACAGGTGGTAAATATCATTAGACTGCCCTCCTTTTCTTGTTTCTCTTTTGCCTACTTACACTCTTATTTCCAAAAAGGAGGAAAATATGTCTCCATTAGGATTTAAATCTCAGGTGTCCAAAATGTTTGGTCTGTGTGTGTGTGTGTGTGTGTGTGTGTGTGTGTGTGTGTGTGTGTGCACCGTGCTCAGTGTGCGATGGAAACAGAGGGTGCAGCAGATGTTTGCTTTGCTTCGTCGGCACTAAGTTGTGCAACTCTATAGGCTTCATTCGGACGACTCACAGCTCTATTCCAAGCGGTTTTCCAAGGAGGGCTACAGAATATGGGTTTGGACTTTCAAACGCTGACACACTATACAAGGTAAACTTTAGGGTCTCTCTGTTCCTTAGAAAAGCAGCCTATTAAGGAGATTTATACGAATAATTAAAGTTTATGTCAAAGCTTTTCTCTAAATACCTGTTAACCGCTGGATTTCTACACTTCCAAAAACCAAAGCCGCGTGGACACGAGTCAGAGGTCGACCCTACCTGCAGTGAAATGTGAGCAGTCGGTCGGAGCTTCGCGCTCGGCAGCTCCACGTACCCATCGCGACCCAGGAAGTGAACGGTGGCCATCTTGTCACATTTGTTGCCGTAGAAACCAGGCATGCAGCGGCAGATGGGCTCCCCGGCAACCACCAGGCACTGGGCGCCGTTCTGGCAGTCCGATTGGTCGCAGGGGCTCGTCTGCAGCAAGATCATTGGTGGAGGGTTCTCGCAGAACAGCCCGCTGCAGGGGAAGCAGATTGAACAGGAGATAACTTATTCATAGAACTTTAATTGGGTGATTTGTTGAGGCTGTATCCTCTGATAAAAGTTGTTTAGCACATGTTCTGTCATTTGCCTCGTTGTGGTACATTTTGGAGATTGCACTGGTGAAGATGGAAAAGCAATATTCCTGAAGGACATGGACACATTTTATAAGGTTCTGTACTTCTACTTGTTTCCCCCTTGGATCATCCACGAATGGTTTTCTTTGAATTTCCTCTTTCTACAGAGAGTTATATCTGTCTTCTTCTTCTTCTTCTTTTTGTTCCCTGCACACCTATGACTTCCCCCCTCTCTGTTTCCTCTCTGTCTCTCGTGATGAATTTGTTTCTCTCTCGCCAACAGTCTCTGCTATAATTAACCACATGGAGCTGCATCTGCTGCACACACACACACACCTACACACACAGACACACACACAGACATTCATACACACAGTAGGTCGAGACAGTCAAGTGTCTGATTATGAAGTGCCATCTGTATCTCCTCCCAGTCTGGCCCGGCAGTGTTTAACCGTGGTCGTGTCGGATTTGTTTCCGTGACTCTCACCTGAAACCCTCTTTACAGACGCAGGTATAGCCATTGACAGCGTCCACACACTCTGCTCCGTGTTGACACTTGTTCTCCAGACAGTCATTATAGTCCTGCTCACAGTGTTGGCCCACATAGCCTGGTAAACACTCGCACCTACAGCGAAATGGAAACCAGGACAAGGATTACTGAGTGTGTGGGTGACAAGCTTGGCCTCACGATTACAGATGTTTTACTGTACAAAGAGATGACAGGCTCGGTCCTTTTCTGTAACATGTACGTTCAGTAATGACATGTTTTTCTTGCTGAAGTGTTTCTGAGCAGGACGCCAAACTTTTCTGCTCACTGACCAAATTCCATATGGAGACGCTCAATTTTCAAATTGTGCATGAAAAACTTAGGAGTAGTAGATTTTTTATTATTTTTTTGTTAACTTTTCCGATGTTCCATGAACTACGTATCTGTGCCTTAAAGAAATCCCTTTATTCTACATGTCTCATTTAATAATTCACAAAAATACAGGGTTTTCTCGAACCATATTCTATAAAAAAAA